GGTCAAAACAAGTACTCTCTTTAACAAGTAATCCAAACAATAGCTTGTGTTGTTGTTTACACGATCTTTGATTTGAGATACTTGTTAAAATTCTTGTCTTTATTCGATTTTAAATTGAAGCTAAAAAAAAAAACCCTTCAAAATCATGTTTTGAAAATGTTGTAACTTTATGTGATTGATTGTGTTTCAGGGCATGGATGATGTAAACAACCCAAAAACGGCGGCGGAAGAAATCGTCGACGAAACTCCACGACCGAGTTTAGAAGAGCAACCGCTTAAACCGCCGAAATCTCCACGCGCCACCGCACATAAGCTAGAGAGCACTCCCGTCGGTCATCCGTCGGAACCAAATCTCCAACAGAAACGAACAAGAAGCACCACCGCCTCTCCACCGGAGCTAGATTCCGCTAGCTGTGCAGGTTTAGACGGTTCACCGTGGCCGAGAGACGAAGGAGAAGCGGAGGAGCAGAGGCGGAGACAAGACGAAACAGAGAGCGATAGAGAGTATTACAAACACCACAAAGCTTCTCCGTTGTCGGAAATCGAATTCGCAGATACTCGAAAACCGATCACGCAAGCCACCGACGGAACGGCTTACGCGGCGGGAAAAGACGTGATCGGATGGTTACCGGAGCAGCTAGACACGGCGGAGGAATCTTTGGAGAGAGCAACGAGGATATTTAAACGAAACGCAGAACGCGGCGATCCTGAAACGTTTCCTCATTCTAGAATCTTAAGAGAAATGAGAGGCGAGTGGTTTTAACTAAAGACACAAAATGTAAGAACACTCAAAACACACAAAAAGTTGCGTGTCTGAATAAGAACCCTAGTTTCCAAATCGTCCATAAAACGTAATTAGTACAATTGGTTCGAATATTGTGGATTACAGTTATCCAATGGTCCAAAAAGAAGCTTTGTTCTTTCAATCAAAGCTGTAAAATTTAATTAGTATCAGATTCCAAAGTTTCTTGCTTTTGAAGATTCTCAAAGAGATGAAGTCAAGTTCTTTAAAAAGCCATAGACTTTCTTCTTCTTTCTTCCTCCTTCCTCCATTGAAAAACAATGGAGTTTCTCTGTTTCTTCACTCTGTTTTTGATATCACAATCTCTTGCGTTGAAGATTACAGAGAAAACTCAGATTGAATGTGTAATGTGCTTAGAATGTGAGAATCCATGTGATCAGCCACCTCCTCCGTCGCCTTCACCTCCACCACCGCCGCAAGAGATACTCTGTCCTCCACCGCTTCCGCCTCCGGTCGAGATTCTCTGTCCTCCGCCGCCGATAGAGATTCTCTG